GTAATTAATTTTTATTAGATAAATGTGCAAGGTGAAAATTATTTTATTTGCGTTTGGCCAGCTTATCTAATCTTCGAAGATAAATGCGAGTACATGAATTCGAATGGAATTTGTTGAAATTCGTTAAATCTTTTATGCCATTAATGCTACTGAACTGCCAGTCGAATCGATGATGCAGAATTCACGGAAGCGCCAACTTTTCAAAGAATGATGTCAGGTTGAACAAAATTACCTCTGCGACGAGCGTCGCGGTTGACCGTAGTTGCTCTGACCGAGTCGTCGCTAGTTTTCAGTACAGTCACGGCCGTGCTTCAAGTTCAGTTTGCTGCTAGCCTTTGCCGAGTGTGGTGTGTGAGTGTCGCGGGTTGCCGGTGGGTCAGTGACACGTATTTTGTTTGGTGCCCTTGCCCTATTGTGTGAACTGTGAATACTGAATATCATATTGCAAATGCTGATCGATACAGCCTAACTACTTTCATGGTAAATTTAGTGTGAAAAATAAACATGATCGGCTTTAGAAAATTTGTGATAATAAGAAATCAAGCTAATCATGCCGCTTTATGCGGTGTTTGACATTTGATTTATAAAGTGCAAGAAAGCTTTCCTCTGTGTCTGGGATAAAGCGTGATGAGAACGTATTTTTAGCTATTTGTTCTCTATTGTGTTCTCTTGTTATAACACAACTCATTTGACTAGTCAACTGTGTAGTGTGTAACGAATAATGATTTAATCCTAAAATTATAAAAAAAGATTGGGGAACTTCGAACTCTTGGTGTGATTGTTAATTCAGTTTACCCAACTCACTAGGAAAGGAGTGAAAGATGAGAAAATTATTTGTGACTTTGAGTAGCAATTCTGTAACTAATTGAGCAGCAATTAGTTATAGAATTTACCATGTTCGGGGTCTAACGCACCGAATTATTGCCGTAACTAATTATTTACAGCCAACCCGTGTCGCGCACGGCTCATTGGCGTTGAAACTTGATGTATAAAGTTATCCCTAACCCAGAGATGCTAAATAAATCTCCATTTAATATTGAGTTTATCGGATAGATTTTCTTGAAAAATCGAGCTAATTGCTTTAATCCAAATCTTTAGATACGTTTTATGAATTATGACATTCATAGCTTCTTACTTCTACTCAGGGACTGGACTAATGAGATTGAATTTGTAGAATAGTCTCCCATTCTGACGGTTAACTTCCAACGGATGGAATGCGGTGATTCCCAAGTTTTCGACGGTGATCCTACAAATTTAGCAAGCGCATTTACAGAAAATCCGATTCTTGTTGTTTTGCACCAGTTATGCATTGCATGGCGCACTTTGGTGTGATAATGGATATTGATCAATTTAGATTATTTGGTAATATATATATCACCCGTGAACAGCTTGATAGCTGTTCATTAGTCGGGTTTAAGTCATTCCATTAGATGACTTTCCTTGGAAGGTTCCGTTTTTGGCTTAGTTTAACCCTTTGTCTACGGATACCGTCGTCAACGTCATTCCCAAGTAACTTGCCCGATAGCTAGAGTTACTGACTTACCCTTTAGACACGGGCTCGGCTTGACTGAGCATGGATCACCTGACGTTTAAAATTTGCCCTGCAAGGTTGCGTTCAAACTACAGCCATACAACTCCTAGTCCACTTTCTGGTTCACCTGGTAACATCTGCTACCTCTATCAAATAGCTGTATGATAACTTGAGTAGCCGACTTGTCAGTAGACAAGGCTTAACTGAGCATGGATCACCTGACGTTCGAAATTTGCCCAGCATATTTGCGTTCAAACTACAGGCATACAACTCTAATCCTAGTCCACCTATCGTTATCCTTATAACCTCTGCAACTGCTATAAAATAGCTATATGATAACTAGAGTAACCAACTTAACGTCACTAGACTGGGCTTAACTGAGAATGAATTACATGACGTTTGAAATTTGCCCAGCATATTTGCGTTCAAACTACTGCCATACAACTCCTAGTCCACTTTCTGGTTCACCTAATAACCTCTGCTACTTCTATCAAATAGCTGTATGATAACTTGAGTAGCCGACTTGTCAGTAGAAAAGGCTTAACTGAGCATGGATCACCTGACGTTTGAAATTTGCCCAGCATATTTGCGTTCAAACTACAGCCATGCAACTCCTAGTCCTAGTCCACCTATCGTTATCCTGATAATTTCTGCAACTGCTATCAAATAGTTGTATGATAACTAGAGTAACCAACTTACCGTCACTAGACTGGGCTTAACTTAGAATGAATTACCTGACGTTTAAAATTTGCCCAGAATATTTGCGTTCAAACTACAGCCATACAACTCCTAGTCCACTTTCTGATTCACCTGATAACCTCTGCTACTTCGGTGGCGCCGCGACACAAAACAGTGCCGCTGCTGTGGCTGCGACGTGACACATGGCCTCAGTTCGACACCTTATCAAGGGTGAACCTTATTCTCAGCTATTGCAGTGCCACGAACTCCAACTCAACAGGAAACTGCTATTTACAAGCATGCAGCTCAGGATAATTATACATATACACGTAACAAGTGCTAAACGTATAATAGTCGCGTTAAAAGTCTGCGTCTGCAATTCAAAGAGATGTTATTTGTTTCCATGATTCTGTTCTAAATTGGAAATTATGTTTGTATATCCACTTGCTTCTTCACGCAGTTGATCCACAAGAATTACCAAACGCCATTTATTGTTTTTTTTTTCTCTGAAAATTTATAATTGATGGAATTGTATACAAAGCCTAATAAGAATTTATGCATCAAGCCCGTTTTTTTAACACTTTGACTCCGATTGCTTCATCTTGTACTATTATTTCATTTTTTTGTACTGTTTTTAAACAAGGTTGCCAGACGGTCATTTTTTCCGGACAAATTCCGTGATTTAGTTTTTCTCAATTGTGTTGGCCGGCTAAAATTATTTATGATTGGGGTACTTTCTAATTAAATTTTAAATACTGCAAAAATAAAATAATTGGAATTTTACAGCGGAACCTACAAATAAACTAGTATATATTGCGTTTTTGGCCGTTTTTGTTCTCGGGTTCGGCCGATTTTAGGCAACCTGAATTATGCACCACTACGTCCTGGAAAAATACATTTCGTGGTACGCATATGTACCACTTTGGAGTCAACGTGTTAAAATGGACTTAATTTCTCCACTCATACCCTGGAGGCAATGTCTGGTTGCACCAATGTTCATCATCATCAAATTGCGTTGAATATTCATCTAGAACGAGAAGTGAATAAATGTCATTTTTCCTCGTCATACATTTCGACGTTGTTTCAACGTTGAAATCACGTACCGTATATACTGATACACTCATGATAGACCATGTTAACCTGATAAAACATTTTTAAAACGCTTTTTTTAACTTCAGGCTTCAACGCGATTTCAATGTTGAAACAAAGTTTAAAAGTACGAAGTTTAAGAAATGACGTTGATTCACTTTTCATTCTGGACTAATATCCAACGTTATTTCAACGTCGCGAAGTTCGTTAGGGTTCTCCACTCATAGGGAATTAATGGGTCATAGAGATCCGATGGTTAGACTTTTCATTTCCCCCGCTTTTATTTTCTATAGGTGGCGAGTAACTAACAGTAATGGCAGAGTAAAAATTCTTTCCATTGAAACACAAGTCCCACGGTTTTATAATTATTCAGTAATTATTTTTTATTGGATTTTATATCCAGTTTCCAAAACTTGGCAGCTGTTTAAGACGTACTTACGCAGTGTATTCATTCGGTATAAATAATTTCATTGATTAACTCATATAGATAACTTTTAGGTTTAGTTGACTAATTATTCAACCTCTTAACGTCAATGAAAGTTTTGTGTCAAAGCTCCGATTTATATCTTCGAGTTTATTCTGTTATTTTTCTGCTGGATAGGATTTTTCCAAGTGGAATTATCATCAAGATATTTTTGTATTAAGTTTATTTATTATTCATTATCTTGGTTGTTTTAATTCTTTCAGTACATAGACCAGTTAGCTAGTTTTAATTTTTAGATTTGCCATTAAATTGAAAAAAGTAATAGGTAAATTTAAAGTGAGTTTACAAATACAATGTTGATAAAATGAGTCAAATGCACTGCAAGAATATCTATCATCCTAAATTTGGACCACATTGCGAAGCAAAAAGGCTATACAGTCATATCATTCACGTGGTAACAATTGAACTGTTTTCTGCAACAGATCTACTTTCTTAGTCCTCGTTAATGCAAGGATATTAGCGAGGGATTTGAGAATACGGAAGAAAACTCTACGCTGCCTCGATGATTGCTCGTTTCGCATTTATGAAACGATCCAATGAACGTCGATTGACATGCATTAAGTTCTCGAGTTGCCCAGCACAGTCATGCGCTTCAACTACTTATCGATAATCTTTCAATCAAGATATTCTTGAGAATAAATACAGTAAAACTTTAAACACCAGTTCAAGTTGTGTCGGCGGTAAGTGGTCAGAATTCAAAAATATAGAAATTTAAAGTGTGAGAATCATATAGTTTCTTAAAAAATATTTTGATTGACAAGAAAGTGATTAAAATCTTTGTGTGACCACTTCGAACGGCTAAACTTCATTGAACAAATTTCCATATCTAATTCCAATTAGCTGGATTTATGCTTGCCGGAAAATACCAGGCAATTTTGTGGGTTATTTACCCTAAGGAAAAGTGATCAACTCGTGCTTATCCGACCTTCAGGACAGGAAAGAGCGGGACAACAAACGCAGGACGCGCCCGAGACCGATAATAGAAGACTGCAACAGATGACCGTCACCTGTAGCTACTATGCCTATCTGCTCTTTCGTGCAGTTCGATTGTGTAGTTTATTCGGCACGATCCGCATTAAGAATTGATGTCACTTGCTGGCCTAAATCGCAAGGTTACTAAAAATTTAAAAGCAAAGAATAGTCCACAAAAATTCATATCTTTATAGAAAACATTTCCGCATTCTAGTGTACTTGTGCTGTTATCTTGCGTAGGTAACGATCAAGCACCTCTACTCCGCATCTCAATTCAATCGTGATGAACGTCACGGGACTTCCTTATAAGCGCACACCCGTGAAATGACTTTAAAATATTCACTGTCGAGTTTGACGTAGAGCCTTATAAGTGGAGTCTTCAGGTAGGAGGTGTTTGGGCTGCATCTGCCTAAGAAAACCTTCAGTGCGTCTTGCTAGCGTGGACAACAAGGCTCTGCTATGGCTTGCATTCGCTCTATCACCTCTGAAGGCTCGTGTGATGATCTCCATAAACTTCAGCCTAACAAGAAAACCCAGCAGAAGTCCATCACGCAGGTAAAGTTTTGGACATTTATTAGGGTACGCACACAGTGAAAGCAGGTAGCCAGCGTGCTGGTTACCTGCTCAGGCTGGCGCCTGAAACCATAGAATACAGAAGCCTATTCGTACAGGTTTTCACTGTGAACACTGACATTATTATCCTATGTTCATTCTTGTGGCAGGTTGGAGCAGGTTGCCCGCGCGGGCAAACCTGCTTCCACTGTGTGCGTACCCTTACTGTGGGATCAAGCATGCTAATAATATATGAACTAATATAATTTGTAAGCGCTATTAAGTTTAAGCCCATGCTAATAATATATAAACTAATATAATTTTTCAGCATTATTTAAAATTAATGCATTAACTCTATCTCATTGGTATTGATCTTGTCCATTTTTTCGTTTGATTGTATTCCATAGATGGCAATGTAACTGTCTCAATTCGTTTGCACTTGGGGAATTAATCCCCGAGCGTGAGCGTGGTGAGTGTCCTGTATGAGAATGCGTGTAGGAAATGAGTCAAACTTACAACTCAAGCGTCGACACACGAACGTCTGTTGGAAACGTACAAATTGACGGCTGTTTGCACGAGCGTAATAATGCCACAAGACGTCATTCTGCGTGTTCTCTGAATGTCACCAGGTGAATCATGCTCAGCTAAAAGAGCTCTTTGATGAACTGAGGAAATTGCTGGGGTTAGTTGGAAGCTCGATTGGGCGTGCCTAAGAATTGGTCTGCTTCGTAGGAGATGACGTATGTCAATTGAGAACCAAATAGTGTGACGAGTTGAAAGACTTTTCGTTTTTTGTCCATGTAACCGTGATATTTTGCGTTGGTGTATAATGTTTTAAATGAGTGAAAATCAAGATCTAGACTGTTTCTGCTCGTTTTTAATTCCCAATTTGTTGAGAGTATTATGCTACTTGTACTTAAGTCATTCGATTTCATGCAGACAGGTCATTTGACCAAATCTATATATTATATATATTTATTTGCAATGGACAATTAAGTGAAAAATTTTATTCCGAAAAGTGTTAATTAATCTCGTACCCCTGACTCATTCCGTTTTATTCAGAAATACATTAATTAACATAAAATTGAACGATTATATTCACGCGAAGCACGCACATTTCAGGCGAAGTCCCTTAAAATATAATTATTTTTGTCGTTCAGCGTTTTTTGTCGTTCATTACGAGAGTGTTTCAAAAAGTTCAAGGAAACGCGACATTAGTGACAATTCTTTGAAAAGAAAATGTTGCCAGTGTACGAGAACTATTCTTTATCAACGTTTTATAACGTGTTCTTACATGAACCCTTAAATTGATATTATAAACGCGGGGCGCGCTTCATAATTAACAACTGTTCATGCAACATGGCATCTGCCGTAATTGAGGCCAGGTCTAACATTAAATTCAAGGTGAAGCTTGGGTGGAAGAACATCCAAATCATTGACTATCTGGAACAAGTATATGGTGATAGTGCCACAAACAAATCAGTAACCGACAAATGGCTTTGTAGTCCCAGAAGCAAAAAAAAAAAAATGAGATCAAGATGACCTCTGCAGAAGCAGGCCGTGCGCATTAGTTTTGTGTAAAACATTGATGCTGTGCGTGATCTTATTGACAAAGATGGGCGGATAACCACCGAATTAGTAGCAGGCACACTCAACATCTTCGCGAGTTCTGCACACACAATTCTGGTGAGCAGTTTAATTGCGACTAGGCAAGCTCTCTGCTCAATGGGTTCCCAAGCTGTTGCGCCCAGATAACCAGGAATCAAGGGCAAATCTTTCTATGAAAATTTTTAAAAAGTGGTTTGAAAACCTTGACTTTTTCTTAGGCGGATTGTGACCGTCGATGAAACAAACAAAGGTACACCAGCTCGATCCTCAAGACAAAACTCGATCGAAACGGTGTATGCTCAGGAGAGGAATTAAGTGGGCCCGTCGAAGAAAAATTTAATTGTTCAAGAGGGATGGTTTTCTGTGATGCCGAGGGGATCTTATTGGTACTTGATTTCCTCAAGAACAAGAAAAATATTACGGCTGTTTGTTATGAATAGAGTTTGACTTTGAATGTAATAATAAAAGCAGCAGCTATTATTATTCACACTGCAGTCATTGCTCATTATTGATACAGCAGGAAATAATATTCACACTCGTCGCCGCTCATTATACAATAACATGTATTATTTACTCTAGTCGCCGCTAAATATTTCTACAGTAAAAAGTATTATTTACTGTAGTCGCCGCTCATTATTGTTGCAGTAACAAGTATTATATAAAGTGTTGTCGCCGCTCTACTGAGCCGTAATTGCAGCTCTCTGAACCTGCCCCTTCATAACGCCCGCCCAGCGCCGGTTACCAGGAAGCGATCGAGGCCTTGATGTTGGGAAGAGGCACACGGCGACTGCATCCGAACCTTCTGCACCAAGACGCATGGGTAAAATGGAAGTGGAAGATTTGAATTAAATTATTTTGATCTTTCCTTCAGTCATAGAGAATGCATTTTTGTACAATAAACCATACATGCTACTGTTATTTTTAAACTTGTTTATGATATCGGTATACCAGACTGCATCCATGTTATGAAAATTTTCTTAGTTCAAACAGCATTATAATTTGTTAATTTCTTGATATTTGATTCACTTCTTGGGAAGTCAGCTGAATCTCTCGACCTACATCGAGCATCTGCTGGAAAGTCCACGATGTGAGATCGTCCATACGAGCCCATCAGGCTTATCAGGCTTGCGAAACTTAGCTTAACAGTTCCGGCTGTCGTGTTGTGGACGTACATTAACCTTGTATATCTCGACATCGTTCTTCTTCAAGATGCCATAGACTAAGGTAGTCTTTTATCCCGTGTTCCATCGAAGCGTTGGCACCACCCTCGCCTTATTTGCTAAGAGCACTCACAACATCGTTCACTGTAAGTTTTCCACGCCTCCTAGCGACATCGTGTGCCAAGCGATCTTATCTGATATAAGCGAGACATTAAACTTGCGTGTATTTCCTAGGTTGGTAATTAGGGTTGGTCTCAGCCTTTTCTGGATTAGGGTCTTACATTTTGCACCAAGCAAAACAATTTTTAGGATTAATCAAGGAAATCTCCGAACAGTGTTTCAATTTATATATCTTGAAAGAATTGTCTGGTGACATCAATTACATTTAAACGGTGACTATATAATTTTTGCAATCGTAACAAGGTTCAATTTGTTCTTTTTTGTTTCCACTGTATCCGTATGGAGGTAAATTTAAATTTTTTTGTTTCTATGTTTCTATTTAATACATTTCGTTTTTTTGCAAAAATTTGTTTTTCGACGTTTTCGAATCCACGTTGTGGTTAACGTTACTGATCAAACTTGATTTATTTACGCTTGATACCGAATTCAATACAATTTACTCATTCATCCTAGCAAGCATCACTCCTAACAAGAAAAGGTAATCTTTATCTTGAACTGCGGTATTGGTTAACAGATTTATTGGCCTTTTTATAGGCCTAGAGGATTTGTGATGCGTTCGGCGATTGGCGGCCGAGGTTTGTTTGTTTATTTGCAAATATATTACTTCTCCTCTGCCTGATTCTTATCACCGCGCATAAATTATTAGACTCGGAACAATTGTCTGTCACGAAGAATTTGTATTCTTGCAAATAAATCTTTCAATGGTTCATTAAGCGAATAATTTTAATTGGTAGCAATTTTTTGTTTTTCTTTTTTAACTGATAATTGTTTTAGAGAATCGTATATTTCTTGCATCTATTAACTTGTACTGTTTTCTTGTGTTGAAAGTCAATGATGATGCGGACCATTTTCTAGCATTAGATTCCTGTTGAAAATTCTACCACGTGTTTATGTATTATCTAGCTAGGTTAACTCCTGTGATATGTTATATAAATATTGAAATTTGATGTCTTCAATTAAGTAATTATTTAAGTGCTACACCGTGGGGGAATGATCTCCACATTTTCGAACTTTGTTTCGTTGAGCGGATAGAGTATGCGCTCACGTTTTGTATTAACTCTTCAGCGCTTCCCTTTGAATTCTGTAACCATACACGTTATTCTTGTGTTGTGCGTGGGTTTAAAAGCTCGCCCGCAATTTCGGCTGCATGCATTGTGCATTTATTCAGTCTGAACTACCGGCCACTTGCTGGTGGTTGACTGCGGTTAACCGTCTCCACTCAGACTCTCACCACATCCCGCCAAATGACGGCAATATACGACAAGCTTAAGGCTGTTTTTCGGCGGCATTAAAAACCAACATTACATTATGTTTAGTCTTAAAATGCCTCGTACCCTACGGAACAACTGATATCTAGAATCGATTTTAAATCTACCGTCCGTTGAAAAGATCTGATCAAAAGGCCAGTCTAGTCAAGAAAAGCACAAGAATCGGCGACAGGCCTATCCAGGCCTTTAATGCCGAAGATACTATACTATACATTATGTTAAAATTCTGGGTCTGCTTCCATTCAGGCGTTATCCAATATTATTTTCTACTTCTGTTTAACGTAGAATTATTATTCTGTTTGGCTCGTTGTTCATTGAGAAATATACCAACTGTTTTGGAGGTTGCTTATAGAAATAAATGAAATTTTAACGAGATGTCTACCTTAGGATGAGATTTCAACATCTTTTTCGAGTTGCTTCAACTTCCATTAAATGTCAGCATTCGTTATGTTTGAACGATCCAGGTGAAATTTTTTCTTGCTTCTGAGAAAGCGGATAGGTATCTTAAATATAATATTTGTATAACTTGAAATTTTTGTGTTGCACTGAAAAATGATGGGAAGTGTCGTTGGTTCGACTGCTTGCCTGCAGTGAGGGCGGCAGGAAATTGTGGGTCGGTAATTTGCACCTTCCAGGACTGCATGCAATGCCACTTAAATGCAGTGTAATTGTGCGACCTAGACAACGAATTAACCGCAACTGTTACATTTCCTAACAAAGTTTGTTAGGAAACACAAGTATTCTCCTGCATCATTCCTTTTAGTTGTTTCATCAATTCGAATATGCC